GGGAAAATTGAGGGCGCTTGCAGATCGTGTCTTGCTTTGGTCATCATACTGTTTCTCTCCTCGCACCTTGCTGAGGTCAGCTGGGAGACCGAGCTTGCTCCGAGGGTGGCAGGTCCTTTGGAGTCTGAGGATGAGGATTCGGGCTGGGTTGGGGAAGGAAAATGCAGGGACCCCTTGAGGATCTGAGGAGAGAGATGGAAAGTGCCCAGGAAGGGAGAATGGCAGAAGCAAATCCTGCTGTATCACAAAGTTCACTTCAGACACATTCTTTGTGTGTGTGTGTGTTCTAAGGAAGGGACAGTCATTTATAAGATTGTTTCTATAATAAAACTTGCTGTCGCTTCAAGACAAGCTACTTTTCAAAGGAGGTTTGTACCCTCATAAAGAGACTGTTGAGTAGGCCTTACGGTGGATAATGTGATTGTGACACAGAACTGTATTGCTTTTGAAACTTCATGTAAATGATTCACCAAAGCTTTTAAATACCTAAATCCCACGGTTTTTGCACTGTGGCAAAAAAAAAAAATCTGACCCATATTTTGACTTCTGAAAAGTCAGAAGTGTAAGTCGAGAGAGTGAAGGGAAGTGTGTCTTCCTTTTGGAGGAAAAACTCGGTCGTATCACCCTTCCCAGTAAAAGAACACAGAGAAGGTATTTGTTCCAGTTATGGAAAATTATTCTGGCAAGTTCAGTACAGCTAAGATGTAAATGTATTAATGATTGGAAGATAGTTGTTTGCAAACATTTGGGGCCTCCTCATCTCTGTGATAGCCCCATAAAACGGTTAACAGAATTCCTAGGCTTGCTTAAAATCCACTAGGTTTAAAGACCCTGAGGTTGGCAAACTCAAATTTACTGCTTGCTTCCTTAGCCTCTAATACCTGTTGTAGTGCGCCACCTGCTGGCTCCACTTAAGACTGCACGCAGTGTCGTGTAATAGATTTCCGACAGCGTTTGTGGTTTTTTTTTTTTTTTTTTTTAAGATTTTTATTTATTTATTTGACAGAGAGATCACAAGCAGGCAGAGAGGCAGGCAGAGAGAGAGGAGGAAGCAGGCTCCCTGCTGAGCAGAGAGCCCGATGTGGGGCTCGATCCCAGGACTCCGAGATCATGACCTGAGCCGAAGGCAGCGGCTTAAAACCCTCTGAGCCACCCAGGCGCCCCAGCATTTGTGTTTTATTGAGCATTCCTTTTCAAAGGATGGCAGTGTCCCCAGAGGATGAGTGGCCTGTATGTAACAAAAGTCATTAAGTTCTAATTCTTTCAGTACGTAAATTAATTCTCACTTGTGTAGAAGGCACCTTGGAGACATGGCAGTCCCTCTTTGATTCTAGACCAAAACCCAAAGACAAGGTCAGTAGCAGTAGCAAAGTGTTCTCTTTAGAGATGGGCACAGTAGTTGCAGAGTTTAGGGTTTGGTTTTTTTTTTTTTTTTTCCTGCAAATAACAGATGCCTGATTTGTGTTACTGTGTTCGATTCTCTTCCTAAATTTGGTTTCTATCTAGCTTACCTTTTCTCGTTCTTACTGAACATTTTAATTACGGAATTAATATATTTAAAAATTGGCACGCAGATGTGTGTAAAGCTGTCCCCCTTCCCAGCCCCTCCCAGAAAGGACTGTGTTAATAACAGCCGAGAGTGGACGGTTTTCTTTGCATGCCCTTCACATTCTCTTGTTCCGGATTCAATGACGACCACTGAAAGTATGATCAGTCATTTTAGAAGCAGACCAGGTTGGGAACAGAGTACTGTTCACCATGCGAAAGGACAGTGAGTGACTTTGGTTCTGTTGGTAGTGATACGTGACTTCTGCAGAGTCATTGACTGTCCAGCGATGGCTTGTTCAGGAGTTTTGAAAGGAGATACCCTAATTCTACCACTCCTTTTTCACTTACTAGCTGAAATACTTCTACAATAAAAACTAGCCCTCCCACAGTGATGGGATTAGTCTTGAGGTACCATTCTGAACACATAAGCATACCTTTATAATTATTTTTTAACACAAATAAATCAAGTGTCGTTGGAGCAGATGCTCCCTATTAGACTTGACTTTTCTTCTGCGATTTCAAGTCCTGTGAAGCATTCTCGTGCCCTTAGATTTAGATAAAACTTAAAAGAATGCAAGTGACTTAAATAATGTCTTTAAATGAGAAGAGATGTAGTAGGTTAATGTGTCATTCATTTCTAAGTGGATTTAGTAGTCCCTGCTGTGGTCATTAGGAAAAGTCGTTAAAGGCTTTATGAGCTAGGTGGTGGAGTTAGAATTTGAACCAGAGCCCATCCTAATTCCACTGTGCAGTCTTGCTGGTGGCAAAGGGTGTATGGTACGGTGGGGCACCCACCAGCCGGAAGCTATGTTTTGTTTTGTTTTAAGATTTTTATTTATCAGTGAGAGAGAGTTAGTGTGCCAGAGTGTTGTGCATGCAGGGGGAGTGGCGGACAGAGGGAGAAGCAGGCTTCCCCCTGGGGGACTCCATCCCAGGACTCTGGGATCATGACCTGAGCTGAAGGCAGATGCCAGGCCCCCCTGGTTATGAGTTTTTAAAGGGCGGAGGGGACTGACCTCTAAGGCTGGGTATGTTAGCACAGAGGCCAATACTTGATGTTGTTCCAGATGCTGGAACTGACAAATTTAGTGCTGTGAATACAGTACGCATCTCCAAAATTTGTATGCGTATTTGTGGATATAAACTATTTACAGGGCAAAGAGTTCTGCTTTGCTTTAAATTTCACAGCAAGCGTGCAGATCGCCTACTTGAGTCTGCAGCCCGGGGCTCTTTCATGATGCATCTATAGGACTGCTTCTATTTAGAAGGATTTGCGTCAAGACCCCCTCCAGTAGAGTGGATGAATCTAAGAGTAAATTCAGTTTAAAAGACTTGGGGGAGGGGTGGCCGTTACATTCCATTTAAAAGGCTTGGGGGGAGGGGTGGCTGGCCAAGGGTCAGAGCTGCTGGATTTCCCGACCTCACTGATGAAGCAGGAGATCTCCACATCCTTTGTTGACAGTGTGCTGGGCGGCACTGGGCAGCCGCTCTCAGAACCATATCCATCTCTGCAGCTGCGAGGCTGGGAACTGGTTAATAATAGATCCTAAGACACAAAAGGGGTTTTCATCCTTCATTCTGAAATCATCCATTTTTCACTGGCTGTTGGGGTTGGTTTTTCCTGGCATCCATAAGAGGGTATTAGCACCATTGATTGGAGCAGCCTGGTATCAAATTGTGTTCACAGATTATAATACCTACTGTGATGTAGGAAAATAAAATTCGAAGTCAGAGCCTTATGTGGAGTTAATGACGATTCTCACGTGTTGTCATGAGACCCAGAACAGTCTTTCTTCAATGGAGCAAGGACGCGCAAGGAGGACAGTATTATTTTTGTAATTGTACGTGAAGCTTTCCTAGTGTATGACCCACAGTGCGTGGATACAGCAAACCGCAGGACTGTGGTCCTGGAGGTACGGGCTGGGGAGGGGGGGTTCATACTGAAAAATAGGAGGGAACCTAGAACCAGAGACTTCGGCAGCTTTTCTGGGTAGAATGCAGTCTGGAACTTGCTCACTTTCCCACCCAAACCAGAGGGGTCCAGAAAAGACCTTGCCTTCAACCAAAGCTCCAAACCCTTAAGCCAAATTTGGATTGTAGGTGCCTGAAGCAGGTTGTTGAAGATCTGGGCAGTAGCTGGGCAGTGATTCCAAAGCCTATGAAACGCAGCTGATTGTTGAGCAGACTGGGTATTTTGGTGGGGAAGCAGTTGGCTTGTTGGAGAGAAGTGCCAGAAGTGAGCTAGTCCAGAACACAGAAAGAAAGGGAAGGAAAACACAAGCCTTAACAACAGAAGAAGAGAAAGCCAGACAGGATTAAGATGGACGTTTCCTTTACATTAGGCTGAAGATCAGCTCCTTTCCTAACAAAGAATGGGAATGAATACAAACTAATAGTCTTCATATATAAAAAGTGCTTAGAAAACAATGGGCAGCCTTGGGGGAGGGGTGCAAGAACCTCACATAGGGTCTAGAGAAGACACGCAAATGGTAAATAAACATGGGGGAAAATCCGACTTGAATAAGTAAATCAATTTAGAATAAAAATAGTTGGCCGTTTTGAAACTAACCAAAGTTTTGTTTTGTTTTGTTTTTTAATAAATGGTAATACACAGGGCAGGTGGACGTGTTGAGGAGGGGTTCTATTTTGTTCATGGAAATAGTATTTTCGCTGGATGATACCTCAGCTGCTTTGGAAAATGTACAGTGCTTCTCACCCAAGAATTCCCCTACATAAGATTTACCCTAAAGATGAATTACGGATATCCAGGAGGACCTAAGTACAGAGAGATTCACTGCCATCCATAATGGTGAAAATTTAGAAGCAACCTCGGTGCCCAGTTAAAAGGAAAACTTGAAGTAAACTGAAAACTTGAAGCAAACTTTTGGCACAGTGGCACACTGAATTCAATAGTAGGGAACCATACTTGCTGAAAAAGAAACATTTTCACAATCAGTTGTCACGTGAAATTATGGGTGTGCTATAATCATTTTAAAAGAGAGTTCGGAAGGATAAAAACTGAAGATGGGAACGGTGGTTGGTTCTAGGTTTTCTTTTTGCCTGTTTGTTTTTTCTTGATTTTTTCTGTAATGAACATAAGGAAAAACGTTTAACACTCATATATCATGTGAACTTCTGGTGAATTGCACAGCGATCTTAAGCCAGCTTGGCTGCCTAGAGGGGGCTGTGTACGTATTGTTCCAGAAATGTCAGGGTTTATGTATTTGAGTTAGAAATGCCAGTTGGCTCTCATTGACTTAGGACCATGGAATCTGGTTTTAATTCTATCAGATGGCATCTTTCATAGGTAAGGAAAATAAATTCCAGCCATTCTGGGGCCAGGGGAGAGGAAGGAGCTGAGAAGGGGTTTAAGGACTCTTACATTTTCTTTTTACTAGTTTATATTTAAAGTAACCTTGAGATTTATGTGGACGGCTTGTTTTGTTTTCTAGGCCAAACACCAGAGCACCCTAGAAAGCTGAACTAAAAGAATGCTCATGTTTGACCCAGTCCCTGTCAAGCAAGAGGCCATGGACCCCGTGTCGGTGGTAAGTTTTCCAAAATTGAGCCACATCTTCTCTTTTATTCCTAGTGCCAATAGCATGACTGTGTGTTGTGTTACTCCTTCAAGTTACTCATCACTGGATAGGCATTTGGTGAACAGACTTTGCCCAAAGCCTTGGTCAGTGAGTGGGGTGAACACCTTTTTAGCAGTGTGCGTCCTTTAATCAGCGGGGTCCATTACTCCATGCCCCCAAGATTGGATCAGCACAGAACTTGGGTCCTAGGTGAATCTGGCCATGACTGGAAGGAGGTTTACAAAAACTCCTGTTACTAGCTTTTTAGTTTGAGCTCTCAGGATTATTGGTTTGGGCCAAGAAAAAAAGGTCTGGCCAGACTGATTTTTAAAAATTAATGTGCATCTGGGGACTTCCAACCCCCGCCCCGCCCCCGCCAACCACCCCCAGGAACATTTAAAAAAAAAAAAAAAATCCCTGTATGCAGTGTTTATCATGGTTAGGAAGCAGTTTTCAGATGTACTTTTACAAGAAATCAGCACCAAGACAGTAATCCTGTGAGGTGTTTTTTTACTCCGGATCATCACCCCGATCATAATAGAAGAGTTTCTTTTTTTCTTTTCTTTTTTAAGATTTTATTTATTTATTTGACACAGAGAGAGGGAGAGCAGGGGAGGGAGAAGCAGGCCATCTGCTAAGCAGAGAGCCCAATGCGGGACTCGATCCCAGGACCCTTGGATCATGACCTGAGTCGAAGGCAGAGGCTCAACTGACTGAGCCACCCAGGGGCCCAGTAGAAGAGTTTCTTAAAAATGTTTGTGAATGTCTTTTTCTTTTTAATACTGGAAGAAAAAAGCATTCCATTTCGTCTTCTGTAGTGTTCAGCATCTCCTTCATGGAGCTGATGAAATAAAAAAGGAAACGGGGTGGGGGTGGGGGGAAGCCCTCAAGTCCTGCATCTAAAAACGTATTCAGAATAAAACGATTTGCTTAAAAAACCGATGACAGCAGCTATCCTGAGCTGTTCCCGGGGTGAGATGGTTGAGAAGGTAGTGAAAGAGAACATGGCCTTGAGGGGGGGCGGATTCCTTTGCGCTTGGAGGAGTCTGGCTGGGAGGGAGTCTGCTTGTCTTTCTCAGCACCAGTGTGTGAAGCCAGCCCCCCGGGATGCTTCTGGGCCACAGGCGGCTGGGTGTGAGACAGGGGCTTGTTGAGGTCCAGCACTGGTACCGTGGAAGTGGGACGGGGTGGTAACGGGTGGTAACGGAAAGGGGGCAGGGACTTACAGGCAGGGAGTGGTTTGGACTCCCGGCCATTGGTTGGGCCAATAGGAAATAACAAGGCAAGGCTCCCACTCTGTCTTGCTCTTTTCTTCCACGGGCTTGGAAAATAGTCACAAGGGGGAAAACTTGGCCCGAGTTGTGTATCCGAAGGTTGGTAATGACACGCTTGCAAAATTAGATCATCCTTATGCGTCGGCCGCGGAGGCTCCTGCCAAAAATGTTTATACAAGACACAGGGGTCACTCGGAGGCCCTTGGAGCTGAGTTGCCATGGGTAGGACTGAGCCTGTGAAGTGTTTACTGCTGTGGACAGTGAAAAGTGAGGTCTGAGTGGCTTTAAGGAAATAACATTTACATTCTGATGTGATAACTGGATAAGCAAGTGTCTGAATACGCAGTCACTGAGCAATAAGAACTTCATTAATCAAAAAACTGAATTGACTTCTGATGTTACTTGGTCCTTTTACCGTATTCATCAGCCCCTTACCCCAAATTATTGCGTGATCACATTGGAGGAAAATTGAGGTATAAAATTTCCCTATTAATGATATCCTTGAAATATGAATAGGTTTTTAGTACTGGAGAATATGATTAATTTTATAAATGATGCAGAACCATCTTTGATGCATTTTAATATTCAGTATACTTCCAATGCCTTTAATCAAGCATGAAAATACAGCTGAAGAGCCAATTTAAAGCTCAAATGAAGATCGGCATTGCCAAGTTGGTAAGATATAATTTAAGAGCAAGCAAATGCACTTGACTGAAAAAAAAAAGGAAGTGAAATGAATTTGAAGTAACATTTATACTTACAGTGCTGTTAACTTAAATAAATACATGAAGTTAAAACATATAGAAGTGTCTTTGCAATTAATGGTCTTTTTCTCTTTCATACTCCAGTTCTCAATTTCAGCTAACACTTAGAAAATTTAATTAGATCATTTCACCAAAAGTTAGAATCAGTCCCCACAAGGAAATGTCTTTCTCTTAATTCAGCAAAACCTGAGTTAACTGAAACATTTGTGGGGGGGGGTTGTGATTTATTTTACTTAACAAAACTAAATAAAAAGCCTTTGTTTTCCACTCTTGAATATTTAGATTTTATCTTTCCTGCCTCCCTAGGTGGAGTGTGCTAAACCTAATTTACTATTGCTTTATTCCTTTTTTTTTTTTAATACCACCCTTGACCTAAAGGTTGGTTACTTACTTGGTATTTTGCTGTAGTTTAGAGAAAATAAGGAAGTGTCCTTTCTCGCTTAGGGAAATGCAAGCCTTCGGTACCCTCCCCTGCTTAAACCTTGAGCTTTGAGGCAAACAGGATGGCTTTGAACCACCCTAGGAAAATGTGCAAGAATGTGGGGCAGAGTAGACCACGGCCCCCTCCCCTGGGTGTGGATCTCTGCCACCTCCTATCAGTGTGATGTTGGCAAACCACCCATGGCTCCCTGAGCCTCTTTCCTTTCTGTTAAATTGGAGATGATCATATGTACGCGAAGAAACAGCCTGTGAATACAAAATGCACATGTGAAGAGTGACTTTCACCAGTATATCGTCAAAGAAAGCTGGAGATTAAGGAATTGAATTCAGGAAGTGAGAAACCAAAGTTTTTCAAAGTAATCTTATTTTATTCCTAAGGAAAGATAACTTTGGGGGGGGGAGTGTATTCTCCCCGCCACCCATTTCTTGTAATGAAAATTACCCTCTAACAGACTCCTTACAGGTTGAGAAGTACTTAAAATCAGTAGGACCTCTGTTCTGTTCTCACAGAAACTTTCATGACTCTTCTGAGCCTGGCAGAAAGAGCACTTTCTACTTTTGTTTGCATAGAAGGGTATGACATCGGCTGTTTCCAGAGTGTGTGTTTATAAACGCACCACGCCTTCCTGCACTGGGAACCCCACCCTTGGTATGAAGATTCCTTTGACTTGCCTTGGCCCTGTCACGGATGCTCACTCTTTTTTTCATATTAAAGAGCAGTGAATTAGAGACCCTACTGCCCGTGTTTCGTGCAATCACTCCATCCGCTTCAGCTGCTGTCTGGTGATGGAAAACTCACCAAAACTCTTCCCAATAAAACAAACGATTGAAATGCTCACTTAAGGGATGCATGGGTGGCTCAGTCGGTTGGGCCCCTGCCTGCAGCTCAGGTCGAGATCTCAGGGTCCTGGGATCGAGTCCCACGTGGGGCGCCTGCTTCATGCTCTGCCTACCACTCCCCCTGCTTGTGCTCACGCGCGCTTCGCGCGCGCTCTCTCTCTCACAAATAAAATCTTTTAAAAAAATGTTCATTTAAGTACAAAGTGGTAGCTTTGGAATATCATCCAAACACGGTGCCTTCTTCCCTGTCACAATTAAAATCCTCCGGGTGTTCAAGAATCCAAAGAATGGGTGCTATCTTTAGTCTGGACAGTGGTAAAAACCCGCTCACTGTGCACTGATTCACTTCACTCGTTCATCCCGTGTTTATCGATGAAAGCCAGACCCTCATCTCCCGTTCTGGTAAGAGGAGGCAGTCTGCAAATAAATGTGACATAGATGTCTGTCACAACGGGGGAGAACTTTCTGGAAAGTTAACAGCCCATTCCCACCCCCAGTGAGGGCTGAAAGATTGGAGAGACCCTTGCTGGAGTCTGTCTTCAGGCTGCTCTGTTCAGGATAGAAGGCCTCCCCGAGTGAGCGCTGTGCACAGCGGGGCTGGGTGGCCATCGGGGGCCGGAGGAGTGCTGGCTGCTTCATCAACATTTGAGTCTGGTTTGGATTTGGGGCTCCTCCAGCGCCTGTTTGCACTGCTTTGCTAGGAGATAGGAAAGGTCTGGAACAGAGACGAGGCTCCTATTACCGTGGTGTCCACAGAAGGCACACACCCGGAGCGAACCCTGTCCTGTGGATTTCCGCACGGTTGCTGGCTGATGTAGTAGCTCGTGTGCTCCACCAAGACAGTGGAAGCAGACGCATCTCACAGAAGGCTCTGGTAACCACTGCTGTTGGGTTTTCTGGTGAGACCGTGTGAGGAGCCGCGTTTCTTCATCCTTTTACAAGGCGGTCAGACTGTAAAGAGTTAATTGTGTACTCTGTTGTGTGTCCAAACGTGTCTCCCTACTTTTAGCCCTGTAGCCTTGCATATACTGCAGGTCGGGCCAGGGGATGGTGGGGGCGGTAGGGGGGCGCGGGGCAGCCACTGGGGAGCAGAGTCAGCAGGAATGTGCATGTTTATAAAACTTGGCTTGATGTGTGGCTTTCTCTTTCTTTATGGCTCGAGAAACCCGAGATGATTATTAAATTTGCAAATCTCCCAGGTTCTAAATTCCTACTTTTCCTTAAATTCACCCCACAGTTAGAAAAATCCAGCAGAGACAGCAGTAAAAGTGTGTCCTCATTCTGCTTTCTATTTAGCTGCCAATAACTTGGCATTAAAATCTAGGTCATAGGGAGGTCTTTGAAGAATAGGGCTGAAAATAAAGGAGAAGTACATTTTGGTGAGTAGAAAAAAATGCTACCTCCCATTTCCTAACTTTTTGTTTCTAGTACCATGACTTTTGCCCTTTTGAGAATCCTATGAAGTGAGTTAACCTTTAGAACTATGAGAAATCTTTCTACCCCTGTATTTAATGACTTCTTCAAACCTTTGTTGTACATACTAGGAATTTTTTTTTTTAAGCAAAGCACTGCCTCATAACTTTATGTATTTTAATATTTAAATGTAAATGTATTTATATAGTATTAATATAGCTGTATGTTTTGGGCCTCTCACCCTGTGGTCTACTTACATGTACCTGGTTCTAAAGAAAGGTAAAAATAGTCTTTTCCTCTGATTCTTGATATATAACTCAAAGCTGTTTTCCCAAAAGAACAATTTATAGGGGGCGCTTGAGTGGCTCAGTCAGTTAAGCATCCGTCCTCTTACTCATCAGGTTCCCTGCTCAGCATGGAGTGTCTTAGAGATTGTCTCCCTCTCCCTCCCCTTCTGCCCACACTCCTGCCTCACACTGCTCCCCCTCCCCTGTGCACACGGGCTCTGTCTCTCTCAAATAAATTAAATCTTTTATAAATCACCATTTATATATTTTGTATTTCCTTATTTATATCCTTCACGTCCTTGTTTTTTAAACAGTATTATTAGTGAAAAATTCTTCCCCCACCTTTAAATTGTTTCTGAATGGCTTACCAAATTTTAATGCTAAAAATTGGTATTTTTATTCTACTCTGTATCTCTTTGTCATTTAGAGCCATGCTGTTCAAAAAGGCTCTGTGCCCGTAGGGCTGCTCCCCAGAAACTCAGAATCTGTATTTTGACAAGATGGGTCAGGTGCATTCATGCAGAGCGAGGTTCGAGAAGCCCTGATTGGGGGGATCAGACCCATTACAGTGCTCCTACTGGTCTAGAAAGAGAAGGGACTTCTGGTACCACAGTGTGGGTAAAGCTCCCAACATAGCTTACTGAATCCAGTTACAATTTTAAATTGTTTAAAATTTAGAATGTGGGTTTTCAGTCATCTTGACAAATTTTGCCCTATCCCCATGGCACCTTCGATTCTAATATTTAGTAATTTTTCCTGCCCTCTTTTGTTGACATGCTTTTATTAACATAATAAATTTATTTTGAAGAGGATGTATCACTACTGTACAAAAAAGTTTTTTCTTATGCAATTTAAATAAACACGTAACTATTTTAAAGCACTGTGTATTTTTTGTGTACTATCTAGAAGTATCTTTGGTGCCCCCAGAGAGGTGTGTACCTACTACAGAAATCACAGTTCTAGGAGATGATGGGCGTTGACAGGGATAAAGAAAGGACAAAAGAACAAAACAGGGGCGCCTGGGTGGCTCAGTGGGTTAAGTCTCTGCCTTAGGCTCAGGTCATGATCCCAAGGTCCTGGGATTGAGCCCTGCATCGGGCTCTCTGCTCAGCGGGGAGCCTGCTTCCCCATCTCTCTCTCTGCCTGCCTCTCTGCCTACTTGTGATCTGTCAAATAAATAAATAAAATCTTAAAAAAAAAAAATAACAAAACACACAATCTTAACAATGAGAAAGTGACTTCAAAAGCAGATGAAGATAAATATTGCCTGGTCCCACACCGCCCAGATACTCCCTGATCTTAGGCCTGCTATGCCCAGAGAAGGGAGTTTTTGCAACAACACTAGGGTGCTTAGCCCTGTGGAGGTTTTACCTAGTGGAGGCCCAGAGAAGAAAGGGTGTGATATCCGTGGTAATCCCAGTAAAAACCACCGCTGTCCCACAATCGTTTATAACTCACAGTAGTGGTCACTGGGGGACTGTGGCAACCCAGAAGTTTATCATGCCTTTAAGCTCTTTAATGATAAGGCCCCATTGGTGGGTTTTCTTGGCTGTCTTATGAGCTAGTATTGTCTCAGGATGAGCGCTGCATTGGATTTGAGAGCTGGAAGGGAGGAATAGTATGTTACCACTTTCAGTATATTCAGATAGATCGCTTCTTGGCCTTCTGGCTAAGATCAAGTCTAAAGAATTCAAATACGAGTAGTTTCCTGCACAGGGACTTGAAATGGTCATCACTGAACGTTTCAGTTTCCCTGAAATACCTAAGAGTAAAGAAAATAACTTCTGTTGAGTGTACTTTTTTAAAAAGCATCCTACAGCAAAGATTTTTTTTTTTCCCAATGATGACTAAGGAATAGAAGTCATTCTAGTGAATTCCAGGGCCAAGGACCATACCCATAGTGTGTAGTGGTTATGATTGGTTTGTATTTAAAACTGGTAGTAGTCCATTATTCTGATAGTACAAGAGAGGAAGGTATTTTAAAGGGAGGCTCAGCCGTTTAGGTGTCTGACTTCGGCTCAGGTCATGATCGCAGGATTCTGGGATCGAGCCCCAAGTTGGTCTCCCTGCTCCGTAGGAGCCTGCTTCTCCCTCTCCCATGCTTGTCTGGCTCACTCTCTGTCAAATAAAATCTTTAAAATAAATAAATAGAACAGAATAGAGATAAAGTAGGTCAGTTGTCACCTCTTAGGTTTGGAGGAAGCACCAGGCCTGGGTCAGTGTGCAAGTTGCTTCAAGCACCTTGTGTCCTTAACTGGAGTCCCATTAGCTGTCTCACAGTTCTGTGTCATGCGCAAACTTGGACATCAAGTCACCTTCTATGGTTTCATTCAAACTGTGACTAAGACCATCGAACAAGCTGGGGTCAAGGACGTAATTGTGCGTGGGTGGGCTTCGGGGTGTGGAGGCGGGTGGGATACTGACCTGGTTGCGGGAAACTGAGGCGTCTCCTGGGACGTAGGGCTTTTAGTGCTAAAACCAGACCGTCAGGGGCAAACCAGGACTGTTGGTCAGGTGACCCTCGGCAGGGGTTGGTCAGCCGCTGAAGCCACCCCCCAAACCTACTGCCCTGCAGCCCTGGTTCTCCGTATTATACACCAGCGTATGGTGAGAAGGACAGACGTCCTCCTCTGGAGGGGAGTGACAGCATTTCCTGCAGACTGAGGAGCCATGTCAGCAAAGCTGTCGGGGGGGGGGGGGGGGGGCTCGTTGGCTTGGCTGGCTGTTGGTGAACCCCAACACCGACTCCCACCAACCAAGGCCCATAATAAGTCTTCTGTTTATGACCTGTTCTAGAATTTTTGCCTGGTATCAACCTGAACCTCAACCTTAACGTCTGACGGGGAATTCAGTTAGAATTTTTCGTGAGACACAGTTATCCCATTAACCTTAACCTTTATTACACCAGCCCCCTCATGGCATTGTTTAGGGTCAGGAGCCGTCTGACCGTACCCTGCTTATTGAGCCCACCTAATTGAGCGTGCCTTGGAGGACCTCTCCAGTTTCATTCCCATTTCCAAAGCGAATGCACCTGTGTCGCGGCTTAGACGCTTCTGTGTTTCCTTCCCGACAGTCCTACCCATCCAGTTACATGGAGTCAATGAAGCCCAACAAGTACGGCGTCATCTACTCCACCCCGTTGCCGGATAAGTTCTTCCAGACCCCGGAGGGCCTGTCGCACGGGATGCAAATGGAGCCGGTGGACCTGACCGTGAACAAGCGCAGCTCGCCGCCCTCCGCGGGCAGTTCTCCTTCGTCGCTGAAGTTCCAGCCCTCGCACCGGAGAGCCTCGCCCGGCCTGAGCATGCCTTCCTCCAGCCCGCCCATGAAGAAGTACTCGCCGCCTCCCCCGGGCGTGCAGCCCTTCGGTGTGCCGCTGTCCATGCCCCCGGTCATGGCCGCCGCCCTGTCCCGCCACGGCATCCGCAGCCCCGGGATACTGCCCGTCATCCAGCCCGTCGTGGTGCAGCCGGTCCCCTTCATGTACACCAGCCACCTCCAGCAGCCGCTCATGGTCTCCTTGTCGGAGGACATGGAGAACTCAAACAGCAGCATGCAAGGTAAAGGCCACCGCGACTGCGCGGCTGCTTGGGGTCTGCACCGGGGGCGGGACCAAGAGCTCTTTTGCTCTTGGAGGAGCTAGTCCCCCTTAGGGTCCGCCTGCCTGAGGCATTTCCTTTCTGATGTCCTTTGCGGGGGGTGTCTCTTTTTTTTTTTATTTTAAGTGTTGCCACTGGAAGAGCTCCCAGGAACCAGGCTGTTTAATGCCACGAAATGGTTACGCCACTGCGTAATTGTCAACTTCAGGATACTAAAAATCCTGACTTTGTATTCTGCTTTATTGAATGCGACCTGGTTCCGTTAAAACGGCATTTAATAAATGCCTTTGATCACGGTGATAAGTAATGGTTACTAAAAGCCAGCTCATTCACTGGCTGGTCGCAGGCAACAGACTGTGGGGTTAAAAGGAGATTTCCTAGAATCCCAAGGAAGACCCATTTGGGGCTGATGTGCTCAAAGGCCAGCTTCTGACTCTTGCTGCTTGCTGGTGGAATAATGGTTGGGGGGGAAACGAGATCTCCCCCATCCCCCAGATTTGCTTTCTGCTGTAATTTTTGCCAGCCAATAGATACTCCACACATCCTTGTCGTAGATAGAAGCTGTGCAGTAAACTTCTAAAAACTGAAATTGGTCGATTGTACATGAGTGACTTTTCTATTTTTATTTTTTAGTACCTGTAATTGAATCATATGAGAAGCCTATATTACAGAAAAAAATTAAAATAGAACCTGGGATTGAACCACAGAGGACAGATTATTATCCTGAAGAAATGTCACCCCCTTTAATGAACTCAGTGTCCCCCCCGCAAGCACTGTTGCAAGAGTAAGTATGTTCAGGTCTGCCGGACATTCACGTGGCAGTGCGATTCTTGGGACCTGGGTTGGAAGCACGCGCTTCCAGCTCGTGCTGTGTGGATTGCCAGGAACGCCTTGCAGCCACTGGGAAGGATGGGAAATCTCTCCAAAGGCAGTGTGTTCTGCTGTATGGACTGCATCCTGACATTATCGTCAAGTCAGCAACAGATTGAGCACTTGTGATTGCCACTTGTCACAACAGTTGTTTTTATCTTGATGTTTTGGGGGTCTTGGGTTTTTTTTTTTGTTTGTTTGTTTTAACCCTCCTAGACTATACATAGTTTTCCCATAATCTTTATTCCAATATGGATTGAATTTTGATATTCTGGATATTCTACACGAGGTTGGATCGTGAAAACTTGAAAAGACACACCTCGTCCTTCCAGTTGTCACCTCTAATACTGTTTCTGTGGTGGGGAATGTCTTCAGTCAGAATTTTCAGGCCACCTGTGAGCCCGAGGAAGTCATTCCAAGAAAGACCTGTAGACAGTGGTGGCAACAGAAAGTTTCTGTGTAGCTCGGAGAAGTTCAGTGTTGGAATAACCCATTATTCTCTGGTCTCTGGTCTTCATCACATCTGCCCTTAGAATGTTCAGCATGGTTTAGAACTGCCATCCAGGAGGAAGGTTTCTGTATCAACTACATCCAAGCCCCGAACAGTGGTTTGTTTTAGGTTTAACTTGTGATGGGTGTCATACACAAGTTAAATAGCATTATTAATGGGATTTGCTACAGTAGATAGCCTTGTCTTGCCTTCTACTGGAGGCTGTGTTTGTAGGAGCTCGGAAGGTGACCTTTGGGTCAAGCATCTTGGATCCCAGCTCTGCTCTCCACCATATGTATAACCTTGGCCTAGTCAATCTTGCTGCCTCCGTTTCCTCTCTGTTTTCATTACTGATTGTGATTATTTTCCTTGTAATTGTCTTGTGGTGTGGCACTTTCAAGGTTGACTACAATGGCCGGCTTCCTGGTACAAGGCAGTAGTCTTCCTTCCCTCTAGGCCCCTTCCATCCTCTTTCTCCTGTAGTACTTTTTTCCAACTTGAAACAGTGTTCTACACTCCTTTCTATTTCGTCTTTTCCCATCTCTCTTACCCAAGGCGTTCTGCAACAGTGTGTGAATTCTCCAGCTTTCCAACAGCTATTTTCTTGAACTTAAAATCTACATTTCTAGTTCTGTCCACATCTAACCGAGGCAGGCACCCCTTCATAGTAGGTCATGTTCAAAGTCCTGTTCAGTGCCCATTGCAACAAGTCATAGTTGGTTATTTTGGGGGGAGGGGTTGTCCTTTGCTCCCTGAGAAATGGAGAAGAGAATGAATCCTACAAGCAGCCACATCAGCAGGGAGAGAGTGTCTGGTGAATTTGGATTAATACTACCTTTCACAGTTCACAGTTGCATCATGCTTACCCCACCCCCGGCGAGACTTTCCCATGTGTTTCCAAAGGAATTATTGCATTGCAGCACAACAAGCATGTGGGAGTCAGAACAAATGGAGACGGCTGAGCCAAGACATTAGATAATTTGCCTAGAATCACACTGAACAGCAGCAGGGTCCGGCCTCCATCCCCCTGCCACCTGATGAGGGCTCTTCCTATCTAACCAGTGCCCCCCCACTCCTGCTCTCGGGTGGAAGGAGACACAGAAAGACCAGCCAAAATAGACATACCTTGCAGGCCGAGTTCCCTCCTCTTTTATGGTGCCAGGTGTCTCTGGCAAGGTGACTGGCTACATGACTTGCACTTGTCATTGTTCTTGCCCACGTGGTGAGTAAGATGGTATATAGCCAAGTGCCCGCAGAGAGAGGGAGGGATGACCCCCGGACTGAAAAGGGGTGATTCCAAAGTCAAGGTTACTGTGAATTGCAACGTAAACCATAACAGAAGAAGAAGATTTGAAAGCAGTATTTTGCGCTCTAAATGCTGCTGAAAAGAACATACTTTCTGCTTACTTTGAGTGATGTCCTTTTGATGATCTCAAGCTCGGTGGCTTTTAATGATTAATAAGTAATATGCTTATTTTAATGCTGACCTAAGAATGCATTTTGCTCCTCAAAAAATTCAACAGATTAGCCACAACTGGGACATGTAGTCTTTAAGTAATTCTCTCACAGATGTGATTAAGTAATGTCTTGGAATGTGCCCAGTAGCAGCCCACATAGGAAGCCAGCTAGCCAGGAAAGAATCGATGGAAACCAAGCGCCTAGTGCCATTGCAGTGAGGCGGTCCCGATAATTCTCTTTCCGGAAACTCTTCCTGTCCAAAGGTGGACTTTAAGATACAGCTTTGAAATCCATTTGCTTGCACAGAAGAGTTAACAGCTTTAGGATGATTTTTAAAGGCACTTGAATGTCTATCAGATTCCTTCTCTCTTCTCTTTTTTTTATATTTACATATATGAAATGTATTTAGAACCAAGAACTTGAGGATCAGATCTCACCATTGAATTGTGTCTGTGAATTACAGCAACCCTTGGTTGTAGTGATCCCAGACAGCCTCTCTGAAAATGAGCAGCGGAGAGTCCAAAAAGGGGGCAGTCTTGAGACACCGGCCTCTAGCTGCCACCTGCGCCAGCATCCGGCCCTCTAGAGATGGGGCCACCACCCGCTCTCAGAATGATGCTACCTTTCAAGGTAGACATTGGCTCGAGCAGGGATTTCCTTTCCTGGTGTTGGGAGATCCCCCAAAAAACTCCTCATGAAATTAAACCACTGTAGAGGCCAAGTTTGCAAATGAGTTTCTTCTGAACTTCAAAACATTAATCGCGACCATTTAGTAGATTCACATCTGGAACTGATGTTACCCTTCAGTCCTCTGTGTATGTTACTCAACTTTCTGACACCATATTATTACCAGCATCCCCACTGTATAGAGGACATGGAGGCACAGAGAGGGTTGGTCCCTTGCGCAGGGTCCCAGGGACTATGAGTGACAGAGCTGGGATTTGATGTTGGAGCACACACAGCCTTCTTTTAACGAACCTTTATATGCAAAACGAGCTGGGGAAAGCAGTCAGAACTACCGCACGGATACTATGAGACAAGATTTCCAACCCATAAAATCTAATAATTGGGAGAGATTTCTAAAATCACCTGGGATACTCCCCCCAGTATCCCCGCGGCAGAGGAGATCTATTTTAACCATTCAGTTTTTCCCCCAGCATTTTATTTCCTGAAGTTCTCTTAATGAAGATGAAACATTATAGTTGATGGCATTAAAGTTGAAAGTTAAAAATAAGCCGACAACTCTTTTCTTTCTCTAGGAGAATAATTAAATTACTAATTCCACTTTCTAAAAACCTGTATGTGTCCCCAGATCTGTCACTCTTCTATTTTCTGTTTGTCCATACATATAATTGAAGTCCTTGCGCCCCTCCCCCGCAGTGTTGATTTTTCCACCTAAACCTGCCTATTCATTCTTCTGTATTGACCCCACTAAACATTAAGGTAGGGGTAAAGTGAGACTCAAAACTGCCAGTTTTCTTTGCTAATAATAGAAGTGAAAAATAAATAGTCACTTAAAATCAATGCACCTTTTATTCTTTTCCTAGTTACTTAGTGGGCCTGGAAGAGCTCCTGATAGGGCACATGTATTGAGATTTTTACCAAGATCAAAACAAGTTTCATTTCAGGGGCTCCCTTTTGATTTTGATGATGAAATTTTATTACCCTTTTTTCTCTCCCAAGCGTGTGTGTGTGCCTTCATCAGATTCCTTTTCTTCTCCTCATCCACACTTGTACAGAAAAATTCGGATATTATTTGGACCATTTAAAGAACTTTAGATCCCAGTTTAAGAGACAAGTCCTTTATTACCTGTTACCATTGGAGGCCAGTTCCACAAGCTTGCGATGATGTATCAAGTAATCAGTCGTTAGGAAAGCTAATGAACCGATTAGAATTTTTTAATTACTGACATTAATCAGCGGAGGAAGCCCCGGAAAGCTTTATAGACATTTCCCCAGATCTTTCCCCATCTGCCTCTTCCCTCCTTCCGAAAAAGGGAAAGTTTAGAGCAGTGGTGGTTGACCTGATTGGTTTTCAGAGCCCCCCAGGAAAGGTGTGCGGATGCAGGAAGGGGTGTGGGCAAGTAGGCAGAAGGCAGGAAGACGTCAGGTGCCCCTGAGAACTGGCACTGCACCAGAATCCTCCCTCACGCAGGAATGACAGCAACAGGAAAGGTCTGAGGTTTTGAAAACAGCAGTGCCTTTCTTTATTCATTTTGGAAGAGCCAGAATTTGAAACTCAGACATGGATTGGTGATCTTTAAGAGAAGATCATTGCCAGTTTCGGAAAGGATAAAATGTAGATAACGAGCAGGATTGCGCGAGCTTTAGGAATTTGACCTGTGTTCTTCCCTACACTAAATGACCCATCAGGGCAAGCCGTGGAAGGACGCTGGAACCCTACTCAGCTTCGCTCTCGTACCACGAGATTGTGTAAATAGGCGAATCTGTACTGAGGGAAAGCCTCTCCTAGCACCTGCGTCTCCCTCTAGCGTAGCACCTAACCCTTCTTACTGTCATTACTTATCTACATGTCTGTCTCCCCCTAGAGTGTGAGCTCCTCGAGGGCAGGAACCCTGTTTTTATTCATCTTTGTGTCCCGGTGCCAAGCACAGTGCCTGGCTCATGGTAGGTGCTCACTCCATGTTTGTTGAATGACTATAGAAGTGCTTCTTGGGTTGATCAGCTAATTTCTTTTTGTTGTTGTTGTCGTTGGGTTTTTTTTGTTTTGTTTTGTTTGGTTGGTTGGTTTTGCCTAGTGGTGTTAATGCCTTTGGTAGTAGACTGAAGGAAAGGAGAGAGGCTTTCCACTGGATATTTCACACTGCACGTTGGCTTTCCTAGGAATCACCCGTCGGTCATAGTGCAACCGGGAAAGAGACCGTTACCTGTGGAATCTCCGGACACCCAGAGGAAGCGGAGGATACACAGATGTGACTACGACGGGTGCAACAAGGTGTACACTAAAAGCTCTCACTTGAAAGCGCACAGAAGAACACACACAGGTATCAGAAACGCCACACGCTCTCCATCTTTCCCTCATGAGAGAGAGTGAAATGGAATGTTAGGAATGTTCTAGCTTTCAGAGGTGTTGATAAGGATGTGGTTCAGCCATCTTGAAAGGGAGCAGAGCTGTCTCCAGTCTCTTCTGCCAGTTGTGAAAAACGCACTTTTTCGGTCAAGATGTATTTTCGTAATGAGTTAGAATGGATGCAAGGTTATCACCATGACAGGGTTGCTCCCAGTCCCGTGGAGTTGTGTGCTCTGTGTTCCAGGGAGCTGGGGGGGGAAGGGGGGGTGGGAGTGTTCTTAGCCCTGGGCTGATTTCATCAAGGATGTGGCCTTTGTAGGCACCATCCTTTAATAAATGTGGTACATCACCAGATTCACAACGGCAGCAAACAACAAACCAAAACCACCACAGTTCTTTATGCAGAACAAATACAGAAAAGGAAAGATAATTTGGGTGACTTTTGTCTTCTAAAACGGAGGGAACTTCTGTGCTCTCCCCTGCCCTGTTTGTTCTGGGGTATTACCTCTTCTGCCCAGGATTGAACACAGAGCATGCCACCAGATCTTCCAGAAGTGATTACACGGGTGAAGAAAACACAGCTGTTCTGTTCACTCTTGAACGTTTCATGAGCAGAGCAGCTTGAGGAACCCCCACAGGAATGGTGTCCACAGCCCACTTGTCAGTCAGTGTGGGAGATCCATGCTGACAGCGGGCCTCGTCTGCTCTAACCTCAGGCCCTTGGATGTGAAATTCTAGTATAACAGCCGTTGTCCCCTGGGCACATTTTCCTTCACTCAGGATGTCCGTTGTTTGTTTGCTGTTTGTTTGTTGTTGAGCCTTGGGAGTCACTCCTATTAGGAATGTTTACAACAAGGAAAATCTGGGATTTGAAAGAGAAAGGGGAAGGAGAGTGGCGGTATGGAGTGAAGTTACTCAGTAGTGATTCCCAGGGAGAGGGAAAGGCAGCTTGTGGACAGCTGAGTTCTTGGGTTTGGTCACAAGGTTCTTAAAGGGAACTTGGGGTGGGGGGGGTGCACCTTGCGTTTAGAGAAGCATCAGGTCTCAGATGCCAGGGAAACCAGTAAAAAAGCATTCCCAGGGCATTAATGCGACCTGAGAGGTGGATGTTAACCAACTTCAGCTTAAGATGAAAAAAGACATTGGTTATTTGAATAACAATTTAGATGTAGGAAAAACACCTCAGCGTTTACATTCTCTGAAGCAAAGCAGGTAAGACAATTCTGAAGAGCTCCTCGAAATACCAAGGCATGTCAATCCTTAAAATTTCTAGACAACAAGGGGGATAGTAAGTGGGAATTGATTTGTGAGGCCCATTTGCCCTTAGTGACTCATATTAAACATGTACGATGGCCACTAACAGCCTTTTTATTTGTAAGGGCCTTCATGCTGGCTCTCCCTGTGATTTCCCGCCAAGGGTCTTCTGTTCCTCACCTGTCAGCTACCGTTATCCCTTGGGAGGGGGTTGGAGACACCTCGCTGCTGACAGGCCGAGGAGGAACTACTGTATTTTTAGGATGTCTCAGCATTATACCTCGGCATAATTGCAGTTGACTCAAACAAAAGATGCTGAAATTCCTGTCAGTGTCTATCACGCTTCTTATTTTTAGGAAACTGTTAAAATAAGAAGGAAATCCCGTAAACTTTAGTTTGGACTTCTTATTAAGTGGAAAGCACTGTGTGCAACTAAGCACCACGGTAGCTTAAGACTTGAAGATAAATACAGATCACAAGTTGTTTCTCAAGTGATTCCTCCCTGCTATTTAGGGCAAAACCAAAATTACTTGCGAGCTCCTCCGAATGGATTTCAGTGGCTTTATGCTGTGAAAACTTTTAAAATCTTTTCTTTGTTGGGGGGGAGGGGTGCAGAGTGCTAGTTGAATAGTAAGAGAATTAAGCCACTTGTTTTCTTGTTTGGGAAGCAGATGGAGGGACATACCTTGGAAATAATATTTGCCCAGAGTTGTAGCTCAAAAATCTTTACTGTTTTTACTAATGAATAGCCTTTCACCCTCAAAAAAAAAAAAAAAAAGCTTTTCTGTTTTTCCTTTTTGCAGGAGAAAAACCCTACAAATGTACATGGGAAGGATGCACATGGAAGTTTGCTCGGTCTGATGAACTAACAAGACATTTCCGAAAACATACTGGAATCAAACCTTTCCAGTGTCCAGACTGTGACCGAAGCTTCTCCCGCTCTGACCACCTTGCCCTCCATAGGAAACGCCACATGCTAGTTTGAATGGCTCCGTCCCCTGCCTCAGCGTGGCTCCCCACTCTCCTGGCTCTCTCTCTGTCCTCCTTCCCATGATCTAACTCATTTTTTACATGTACATTTTAATTTGGATTCAGCTGGCCTGAATCTTGGAATTTATATCATTCAAACTTCCATATGGTCAGTAGTAGATGTTCTCTAATCCTCTCCTTACCACGGGTCAGACCTAAAGAATGTGAACACTTTTTTTTTTCTTTTTTTCTTTTTTTTTTTCCGGGGATGCTAAGCAAACCCTTCTTACAGATACGTTTAATGTAATGAGAACAAGGGAACATGTAAACTTAAAATAGCCAATTGTCGATTTCTCCATGTATTTCTCAAAAGAATGTCAAAGTAAATGTATTAGAAATACAGTATCCAGCCTGCAAGTCCTTGCCAGGGGACCTTGATACCTCTGTGCCCTGTGATCGTATTTTGTGCTTGCCAGCAAGAAGGAGGGCGGCCCCTCTCCCAGGTTAGCCAAACGTGCAGCCAGATTTCAGATAGGACTGTCCGTCCACCCTTCTTCCCTTCCGTTGCCCTTCACAAACCCTGCTTGTCAACTCAGATTTACCACGTCCTCTAAATTAAGTCCTTGACGCACTTCTGTGCCTGCAGCTAACAAGGTCTTTGCCACCCCCGGGGTTGAGCTGCAGTGCTGAGTTAGGCGGGTGATCTCTGTCAGTGAGGGGCGCAGCCTCGCAGGGAGTCAGAACGAAGAAGGGGCGTGGCGCAGGGGAGAGGCAGCAGGGTGGGCGAGGGAGGAAGCCGGCCCCTTCCTCCGGGGCTCGGGCTCTCCCGCTGAGCTTTCATCACTGGGTTAGCTGCACAGGGCATCCCCAGAGCCTCAGTCTCTCTACTCGACTGTGCAGAAGCATCCAGCAGAGCCGAAAAACTGATGGAGTGAGTCCTCCTTATCCCTGTCACCATTCCTCCGATGTCCTTAATGTGGGTCATCGAGCCTTGATTGTTGGGACACCATGAAAATATTTTGCCCAGTAATGGTAGGGAGGGAAAAAAGTCTTTTGAGGAAGAATATGGATGGCCTTTCTTTCACTCAACCTACTTGCAGCTTTTTTTTTTTCTTTGCAAACAGGAAAACGTTGAGTGTATTTGTATTCCCTATCAAATTAATCATATAGCTTTTATATGGAAAGTCTGCTGTGTGGACCATAGGGTGCCAAGTGGGCTGTCACTTGTGTTTGTGACGCATACTGTAAGTCAGCGTCTGCTGATCCTCTAGTGGACGCCTTCATTTTAAGACCCGAGTGACCCGATTTGTAAATACAGCTGGTTGGGAAGCGCACATACCTTCAGTCGGGGGACAGATTTCTGAAAAATACAGAAAATCCCAGTTCAGGGATTCATATCTTGAGAGCTCCATAATTCCCCAACATTTACTATTAAAGAGCTGGAAATCGATCACTCAAGTATCCCCTTAGAAGAAGCTGAAAATGACTCGTGTTTATGTCAAAGAGAAGTAGCGCGCCATTCTTTGGGGGGAAGTTTTATGTTTTGTGGGGGGTTTTTTCCTTTTTTTTTTTTTTTTTAATTTTTTCAAAAGCTGGCTTTTGAGCACCATAGTCTGAATGCCAATAAAAATAATTCACGCATAGAAAAGTCATTGGTCCTAAATTTGAAGAAAGTGGGCAACAGTGGGTGTGTGTCACCAAAACGCCTTCATCCCTCGATAAAGGACAGAAGAGAAGGGAGAAGAATCCTGAAGAGCCATCCCGGCCACAACTCAGGATCCAACACAACCTTAACTGGGAGGAATCCATTGTTCATCTGTTTCTAAGACATCAGTGAATGAGTGATTCTGGAGGCCTGCAAATGATGTGGGGAGCTTACTCTGATGGCTTTGTGTTAATAAAAAGTCAGTTGTAGGGACTATGCATCTAAGAGATCCCACTTACCAGCCCTCTGAACCAGCTGAAAGGAAATACAGTTGAGAAATGCAGAGTTACTTGTTACCTTCTTGGCACTTGGTTCTGATTTTTTTTTTCCTTTTCTTTTTCTTTTTCTTTTTTTTTTTTTTTTTTTTTGTAAGCACTGCGAAATTTGTTTAGAATATTAAAACCTCTTAATTGGGCTTTCTTTGTGTTTTTGCAACTATGACATGAATTGAGGGATAAAAATGGCTCTTGGGAAAGTAGGCATTGTCTGTACTGTAAATGCTGTCACTTTCATACCAAAGTGTGTATTTCTAGGAGGGGTTCTTCTGCAACACACTGAAGATCAAGTTGGAATGTGAGGAACTTTTTTGTTTTCATGGAGATGACCAGCGTGTGTGTGTGTGTGTGTGTGTGTTCCAACTTCTAGAGAAGGTAGGGGGAAAAGCAAGAAAGGGTAGAATTGATCATCTTGGAATAATTAGCTTTTGCGTGTGGGTCTGGTTGATAGAAAGCTTCGTAGGTTCTCATGAAATTCGGTGTGTTACGGCATATTTAAATTTTGTCAAAAGAGCAAGCAAGACCCTGCAAAGATTTTCCATTACTGTTCAGCTTACTTAGATTATGTTAACAAGTTCATTAACAAAGATCCATTTTTAAGTCTGAAAGAAAGGTAAGCCCCACTGTTCCCGTTGCTGGTCTGTATACTTCAGTTACCGATTGGCTCTTGACCAAATTTTCTTTTATATATATTTGTATTTTACTATGATAGTTGAGAAATTTAGTCTCTTAGATGTTTTTAGCTGTTACGGTGGAAGACCTCAAATACAAGATAGGATGCCCTTGAACGTGTGGATTTAATGATGTTCCAGGTCACCATCAGTGGTTTTAATTGCAATATTTTACATTGATGAGAATGAATTGTATACATGAAGTTAGCGTGGTATAAATCTTGTTAGGGAGTTTCTTTTGATTATTGTCCAAGGGTCATCTTGGGGAAATCAGAACAATTAAGGCTGAATGCATCATATTGTAGAGTTCCAAAATGGGAATCTACATCATAAATGGGCATTAACATTCTAAATCGTCCGGTAGGGAGAATGTGTTAGCAGCGTAACTAGGTCCAACCAAGGAAATGCTACATACACGGGAGTTTCAGGAGCCTTGGAACAGATTTCTAGGGGAACCATAGATGTAAATGTATATTTTATTAAAACACCCATCTGCACTATCAGTGTTGCACTAATGTGGGATTTGAAAGACTTTATTGCTGATACTGTATATCTGCACATCATTCCTCATTAGATTGTTTTAAAGACAATCTCAAAGATCTAAGGTTCTAAAATAATTTGGTTTGCAAATACACCATCATCTTGAAGGACTCACTGTTTTACATGAAGTTGCTCAGAGTTGTCTATTCTCTTCTGGGTCGAGGTTAACAATTTCTAAATGATCGCAAATTCACTTAATACATTTACAAAGCCATTTTACATGCATTAAACGAGGGCTACAACAATATTACGTTTTACAGATACTAGCACTTTTTTTTTTTTTGCTGTTATGTACTTAGTGTTAGAGGGTCAAAATAATCTTTCTGCTTAGCATCTCTTAAACCATACCTGCAAGTGTAGCAGGATTAGTACATTTACAGTACTTTAATACTTGTATAAACTATGCAGAAATTTTTAATAAAGTGTAATATATTTTATAAGCTAATAAGACTGAATGGGTAAAGGTTTTTAGCATGCATTAGTATACTTGCAAATACTGAAACATTTTGGTAATCTTTCTTACTAAAGATGTGAATGTTTAATGTACCTTCGCTGTTTCTACTCTGTAGTCCAATGGGAATTCAGTAATGACATTTTGTCATGTCAAACTGTGAACATAAATTTGTACTGTACAGTCCTCATATACTATATACAGTATGCAATATATGTATTATATACTTGTTAATAAAACCATCAGAATATTAAGTGTGATTGTGATTTCTATCTGTGCAGTGATCACTAGGAGCAGAGCTTGGCCATGGAACATGAAAGGGTTCTTAGAAATTGCAAAGCGAGTCACCCTTTGATAGGCAAATTTGATGGAGGGAAAGAAGAATAAATCTAGGGGCGCCTGGGTGGCTCAGTGGGTTAAAGCCTCTGCCTTAGGCTCAGGTCATGATCTCAGGATATTGGGATTGAGCTCCACATTGGGCTCTCTGCTCAGCAGGGCTCCTGCTTACAACCCGCCCCCCGCCCCGTCCCCTCCGCCTACTTGTGATCTCTGTCAAATAAAATCTTCAAAAAAAGAAGAAATCTAACTGGCATCTGCAAGGAGTAAGTTAACCTAGCCTTGAAGTCATGTCCCTGGGTTCTGGATAACAGCAGCAGGAAGTCGTCTACGCCACAAACCATAACCTTGGAGACAACCCCCCTCCCCCACCAAATCCACAACCTTACCTAGTGCATTCTTGGAATATTTTTTATGATACCCACCTCTTTCCCAAAAAGGATTTTTAGTGCCTTGAATTAAAAGAAATACAATGTCTAATACATACATATTTAAGTTTTTAAATAAGAGATTAGTATTCATAGCTTGGGGAGTGGGGAGTCAAACAGGACAGTTAACTGCATCAACTAATTCTGGATCAACTTTAAAGCCCTCAGTACACCATGTCCATGGACACTGCTATGTCCTTAGTAGCCTAGGAACAACAAATGGTTTCTGATGGGGACTTAAGAGTTCTTGTTTAAAGCAAAATGTAATCACCTCTTTACCCTCCCCCTAAATGTAATTGAAAGTAATGGGGCGCCTGGGTGGCTCAGTGGGTTAAGCCTCTGTTCAGGTCATGATCCCAGGGTCCTGGGATGGAGCCCCGCATCAGGCTCTCCGCTCAGCAGGGAGCCTGCTTCCCTTCCTCTCTCTCTCTGCCTGCCTCTCTGCCTACTTGTGATCTCTCTCTGTGTCAAATAAATTAAAAAAAAAAAAGTAAGATAGTGGCTTGTTAGGTCTCACCACAGCTACCTTCAGCCTGGACTTCGATTGTAGCATAACATAAAATACCATGGCTGGCCCTTGCTACATGATACCTGCACAGCTTGGAGAGGGGAAGAAGGTTTGGGAGGAGGCCGAACTCAAACCTTGAAGCACTCTCCAGGTTTCCCTGCTTTTACACTGAGATAGTTGACTGTAAACGCAAAAAGATACACATGACTGTTACATTGCAGTGGAACACTGGCTTGGATTGGTCCAGGTGATTGGCTATAATCTTCCAACCATATTTTGTGTATGAGTGACATGACATTTGCTGAGTTCAAAAACAGACCCGTCTTTCCAAGGAAGTACTATATGAGAGCTGGATTCTGCCTGGGTGAATGATCAGAATGGTGACAGATGCAAATTTTACAAGAAACCAAATTCTTGGAGAAATGGTTGGAGGAAGGATGTTAAGCATGTGGGCATGCACACACATGCGCGTGTGCATGTGTGGATGCACAAATCCATAATTGTCCAATATTTTAAGAGCTGTCAGGTTGAAGAAGAGATTAGGAGCCTTACTGGGGGCAAGTTAAATCAATTCTAGTGTGCCTAAAAGGAAAAAAGTGGCTCTGTTCAGGAAAGGACAAGTTGAGATGGTAGTAAAACACATAGAGAGGCAGAAGTTAAACTGTTAGAGACCAAAGTGACCTGTGTGTGCACAAAACAATTGTTCTTCAAGGGTACATTCATTTTAAGATGTGTAAACTGAACCTGTTACCTTTTCCTATTTCTGACCCAATCATAATTATGGTGGTTGGTAATTGTTCTGTATCCACAGTGACCTATAAATGAGAGTGATACATGCTACCAATTAGAATTCTTATTAAATGTATGACTTCGGCAGATGGCAGTTCTCACTAAATGTAGACATGTTTATTGCTTTGAGTACTTCTGCTCATTACGTCCCTCATTTTGCATTCCCTATGGGCATCCTGAGTGGTCTGGGTTAAAGACAGAAGACAGAAACTGGATCTTCAGGTTCCTAGACCATATCTCTGACGTTCTAGATCCAGTATATTAGTCAGGGTTCTCCAGAGAGAAAGAGAACCAGTAGAATATTATATACACAAGAAGACATTTGCTATGAGGAAATGGCTGACATGACTACGGAGGCTGGGAAGCCCCCATGATCTGCCATTTGCAAGCCAGAGACATGGAGAAACCGTGGTGTAATTCGAATCCAAAAACTTGAAAACCCGAGAAGTCAATGGTATGGACCCTAGTTCGAGGGCAGCAGATCAATGTCCCAGTTTAAGCACACAGCAGGAAGGAAAACAAGCCAATTCCGTCTTCTTCCACCTTTTTGTTCAATTCAGGCCCTCAATGATGACCACCCACATGGGGAGGCAATCTACTTGACTGAGACCATAGGTTCAAAAATGTTAGTGTCATCCAGAAACACCATCCCAGACACACTCAGAAATCATGTTTAGTCTGCACGCTCTGTAGCCCAGTCAAGTTGACATATAAGGAACCATTACTCTCGGGAACTCCATCAGGCTCAGAACTCAGCCTCTAAAGAACTCAAAGAGGAGGCTTTTGATGACCTTCAAGGCTTGCCCGTCTACTCCAGATCACATATCCTGCAGAAAAGTCCAAG